AAGAACTAGAGGAAAGTTGTAGGTTTCAATGGTGCTATACTGCACCTTGACTGGCTCATCTCTTCCTTGTGACCCTTCTGTAAGTGGATGTCCGATTGTCTAAAGATGATCTTTGGGTCTCCACTCTGCACTCCCCCTCATTCACATTGAGCTGATTTTTTTGTTGTTGTTGTTTTTCTGGACCTTTGATGCCGGATACCTGATCCTATCAACCCCTCATGATCACACAGGGATGTGCTTCTTCCATGTGGGCTTTGTTGCTTCTCCGTTAGATGCTGCTTATTTATCTTCAAGCCTTAAAGACACCAGATGTTTTCTCTTTTGATAGCCGGGCACCATCAGCTTTCTTCACCACCTTTGCTTATGCACGCATTTTGTCCTCAGTAATCATGTAGGGAAGTTGAGCATCACAGAATGCCAGGTTATTAGAACAAAGTGTTTTTTCATTGAGGAAGTACTTGAGTAGAGGCCCAATGCCCTTCCAGAGCAGTATACTTCTTTATACTACACACAAACCCCAACGTTGAAATTTGAGTACTTTTAGGATTTATCAGCTAGACAAATATCTGGATAACCATATAGTGTCTTAGATTTATGCTGAATGAACCTTGAGATTATGTAAATGAAAATGTACTACTTCCTAAAATCTCCTTGTTGAAATGCGTCATCTTTCTGAATTATGCATTTTTCACCTTGTATCATTTACCCCACATTGAATTTCCCTGTCTAAAAGAAAAAAGACTAGCAATCCTGGTGGTTTTTTGTTCTTTTTCTTTTCTGTATTTAGAGCAGTGTTTATTGGGATGATAATTATAGCGTATCAAAAGCAAGGATGTTACTTTGAGGACTAAACCTCCTATGCACGTGAAAGTTGAACACTGAATGAGGAAGACCTAAGAAGAATGAATGCATTTGAGTGAATGGCTGGAGAAGAACACTGAAAGTGTCCTGGAAGTCCATAAGAACACACAAGTCTCTCTTGGTAAAAGTATAGCCGCATAAGCGTCCGCAGAAGCAAGGATGGTGAGACTCCCTCTCACTTACTTTGGACATGTGATTAGGAGAGACCAGTCCCCGGAGAAGGACATCATGCTCAATAAGGAAAGGGTCAGCAAAAAAGAGGAAGACTTTCACTAAGATGGATTGACACAGTACCTGCAGAAATGGGCTCAAATATAAGAGTAATTGTGAGGATGGCACAAGACTGGGCAGTGTTTCATTCTGTTGTACATAAGGTCACTATCAGTCAGAACTGACTCAATGGCATCTAACAACAACAAGAAGTTAGCGTTCAAATTATTCAATGTAGGATTAAATATTATTAAAATCTATTAAAGGATCATGAACTTACTGACATTTCGTTTTCGTTTGTTTTCAGATGTTGATGTGGATAAACCCGATGAGAAGTCTGTTATGACTTACGTTGCCCAGTTTCTGAAACATTATCCTGATATCCACAGCACTGGCATTGACGGGCAAGATGGAGATGTAGGTATTTGTACTTCTTCAGGTATTGCTAGTACACTCAATGACAGGGACTCGGGTGTTTTAACATACTGTTTTCCAGAAGCAAGTAGGAAGGCATGGCAGTATGACGACAGCTGAGTAAAGAATAGATGTCCCCAAATAACCAGATGTTGGAGGAAGATTCCTCTCCCCTGTATTTTATTTGCTGCTTTGGATATGTCCAAGAATAAGGTGGCTGATACAGTTTAATTCACACTGGTGAATTAAACATGGGGGAAAGAGAGCAGTGTTGGAAAACTCTATTTTAATAATTGGAGGAAGGGAGTAGTTTTACATTCATCACATCGCATGCACATCTATTTCTTGAGTCTTATGCTAATGCGATCTAATTTTGACTTTTAGATTTTATTATGTTAATTGTTACTCACGGCAAACATATGGAAGTAGGCACAATTTGTACAAGTTCAAATTATGCACTGAGATTATATGGTGTCAGACTTTCAAAAGTTTAAACAACTTTTG